TGTAGCTTCTTGTTGTCCGGCCCGCGGCCGGCCAGCGTCTCCCGTCCGGCGACCCGAGGGCCACCTGGGGGCAGCCGGGCGGGTGGTGCCCCTGGCCGCCCACAGGCTTACCTCGGATGAGCTCATAAATATTCATGTCCATTAGTTCACACATTAGTGCCAGAGAACCGGATTTTCTGTCACTGAAGAAGAAAGCAGGCTTCAAAACGGCCCTTGTTGCCTTAGAGATAATCCCAGTCACCTCGCTGGCAGACATTTCTGGCGCGTACAACACCCCACCAGAGAGCGGCCGAAGGGCCACGGTGACCCCGAGTTTTGACCGGAGGTCAGTGTTTCACGCAGAGTGAACCTAAAATAATAGTGAGAAGGGGCTTTCGGCAGAGGCCGTCCCCCGTCCCGCTTTCAGAGGCGGCATCTTGAAAATACAGGGCCAGCTGCGGGCAGCCGCGGGGTGCGGCCTGCAGAGCCCGAGACAGGACGCCAGCTCGAGCCTGCACAGGCCCTGGGGCCTCTCACGGGAGAGGCGCCAGGGGTCACGGCGCCCTCGGGCCCAGGGCAGGCCGGCGCCTGGGCCACAGGCAAGCTGGACCCGGGCCCGGCCAGAGGGTGCTCGGACCCCGGCCCCGGGGTTCAAACTGACTGAGATCACAGCCCCGCCGGGGCTGCGGTGTCCGGCTGGCCCCAAAGGCCGCGCTGCTGCTCGAGGCCTGCTCCCCCACCGCGGCCCAGGCGCCCCGCCTTCTGGGGGCCAGAACAGAGGGGCGGCCCTCGGCTGACGCCCTCGCGTGGGGGGAGGCGGCAGGGCCTTCTCCCAGGCGCGTTCTGAGCGGGGCGGGCGAGGCTGGCTGAGCCACAGGAGGGCCCGCTGAGTCGGAGAGGCAGCCCCCCGGGGCACCCTGCCCCTTGGGAGGCAGACGCACGTGACCCCAAAAACCAGCAGCCTAGTGTGAGCTATCACCCTCTGCAGCGCAGAGCAAACGCCTAGGGCCCCCAGGGTGGGGGCAGGGAGGAGGCCGTCTTAAGGGAGACCCGGTCTGCAGCCCCCCACTGCGTTCAGGCCACGGGGTACTCACAAGACCACTTCGTGCAGGGTGAGGATGTTGGGGTGTGGATTCAGGCGCCTCAGAGCTTGGATCTCTCGCAGGTTGTTCACTTGCTCGATGCTGGGGGGACACAGCCGCTCTGAGACGGGGCCCTGCGCTGGGCACCACGAGAGCCACGCCGGCCTTTGTCTCCCCGCCCGCTCTGCTCCCCGCCCTGGCTCCGAGGCCTGGGTGCGTCTGTGGTGCTGTCTGAGGGGGCGTAAACCCCCTCAGGAGGAGGCTGGAGAAAGGGCGCGGTCGCCCACCTGCACACGGGAGGCTCCAGTCACTCCCAGCCTGCACCTGGCCTCGGGCCCTGGCCAGTGAGGGGAGACCACTGTCCTCCGCACGCTGACGCCCCTCTGGTTCAAGGACATTTCACTGTCAGCACTAGAGGCTTCGACGGCTGCTTTTCTGTCTTTATTTTTTATGCACACAGAACTGGGGTACCAGCCAGAGGTGTGGGGGATGAGGGGATTCCCAGAGACAGAGCGGGCAGCAGAACAGGCAGGTGGACAAAGTCCACTGCCGAGGGGGTAGCGGGGGGCAGGAGAGGCCTGCCGCGCCCTGTGGTCTGCTCCGGGTGGGGATGGAACTCGCCCTGAGGCGGCCGCGGTGGGGGTGCAGCGCTCCAGCCCCCCCACCAGGGAGTTCCTGCTTTCCTTGCTGCCTCAGCGGGGAGCCCTTCCTGTCCCTCGGGCGTGGGTCAGGCGGCTGCAGTCAGGGTCTCGGCCAGCCCAGCGCCGCCTCCCGCCAGGAGAAAATCCCCAAACCCGCGTGGGCGCGTGGGCGCGGCTCTGGGCGTGGAGCCAGCAGGGCCTCTCGCCCTTCCTGACGGACGACGCCTCCCCGCGGTGGCACGCAGGCCGCGGGGCTGCTCAAAGCGAGCTGTGCTCAGGCCCGGCGCGGCCTCCCGCTCCCCAGCAGCCGCGCAGGACCCGGGCCCACCTGTCAAAGCGCTGCTTCATCTGCTTACAGGCATAGTAGTTCCCGTCTCTCAGGCTCTGCATCTTCATGACCTCGGAGAACGTCCCCTCCCCTATTTTGCCGATAGCTCTGTAGTCTGTGGAGACAAGAGGAGTGACCCTCCCCGGCCAGTTCCACGCCCCTTGAGGCGGCCCTGGGATGCAGGAGGCCCGCCCCACGGTGGGCAGAAGCCAGCGGGCAGCACCACGTCACCCCAGGCCTGCTGCCCTCAGGCAGCAGGAACACCCCGCCTCAGCCGCCCCAGGGTGGGCAGCGCAGAGCAGCGGGGGGCTCCTGTGGGCGGGCTCGACACCCAGAAATCGCCCTCCGTGTCCCACTGGTGGCCTGAGGCCTGACCCTGCGGCTCTCGCGTTTCCTGACTGTGGGTGCTGCAGCCGCCATCACCCCGAACCTCCAGACAGCTAGTGGCTTCATTCACCTCTACTTTGCTGGATTAAGTCCCTGCCTGCACGGGGTACCTGGGGGATTCCTGCTTTCCTGAAAACACAGAAATGAAGGTCCCGCCTAAAACGCCTCCAAGCTGCAGGCCGCACGCCGAGGGACCGTCGCGGGACCACCAGCGGTGACCGCTGTCCCCGGGCCTGGCATCCCCAGCCCTGGCCCTGGGAAAGGGCGCGGGGTCCTCCGGGGGCCCGTTCGGCCTTAGCGAGGCAGCTCACAACTAACAACTCAGGAGAGAGTTGTCACGGTTCCAGCAGAAACGGGAGGAGCGAGGGCGTTCCAGAAAGCAGAATCTCATCGGCTTGGAAAAGCTTCGCCAGCCCAAATCACAGGCGAACGGGGCTGCAAAACACAGCCAGCCGTCCGCGAGCCTCGGCAGAGAGCCCCGACGCGGGCAGCGGCCGCCTCCGGGCCCAGCGGCGGCCGGGGCCAGGCGGGAGGAAACCAGCCGCTTGCAGAGCGAGTGGCGAGGGAGCCTTGCGTGTGGAGCCCGCCAGAAGTCTGGGAACCTTCGGTTTCTGCTGCGGAAGTAGCCCGGGCCCCAGGGCCTCGGCTCGGCTGAAGGAGGCCTCTCCCGGCCCGCAGGCGCCTCCCTCCAGAGGGCTCGGCTGTGGCCAGTGGCCCTGTGCTGTACAAGCCACAGTGAGGGAAGGGAAACGAGGGCGTGCCAGGCGCCGGACGGCCCTGGGGGCTGCTCTGACATCCCCTGCCCGTCTCACTCGCTGTGTGGAGACACCGCCGGCCAGTGCCCCCGAGGGCTCACCTCGAAGGCGGGACTGCCGGCCAGCTCGGCCTGGAAGACCTGGCTCGGCCGCTTGTGACAGGAAGCCGAGGCACCTGCGTCCTAGGGTCGCAGCGCCCAAGGCCGCAGACAGAACTGGGTCAGTAAGTATTCGGCCAGCCGTAGTTCAGCGTGACACAGACAGAGCCTTCACTGTCCTCAGGGCCGCGCACACTCGGTGGCCGACCCGGGGTGAGATCACTAAGACACCAGGAAGAAGGTGGGGGGGGCCGAGCGTCGCTCCCTGTTGAAGCACCCTTCTTTTCTCTCTCGGGTACCAGTGGCTCGCCCACAACCAACCGCCCAAACAAGCAGCGACCACGAAACCTCCTGCGTGTCACCCTCCAGCTGCCACGGCGTCCCCACCAGCCCGAGCAGGGCGGCCCGGGGAGACAGGACGGCAGCCGTGCCCGGGACACCTCCCGCCGGCGCCACGCGGGCCGGCCTGACCAAGGAGGGGGGCTTTCGCGTGCGAAGCCCCTGAAACTTGGGGTTCGTGCACTACAGAATGTGAAACTTGTCGCCCGAGCCCAGGCCCAAGCCCCATGTTCACGCCTGGCCTCTGGCGCTCAGCCTGGGCAGGCGGGGCACGCGGTCGGTCAGCGGAGGAATGGAGGGCGCAGGGCAGCTGGCACCATGCCCGGCCCAGGCCCGCCTCCCCCGTTCAGAGGCTCATTCACAGACCCCCACGGCCTGAGTCACTGGCGGGGTGACAAAGCCGACCTGCTCACAGGCCGCAGGAAACACAAAAGGAGCTAAAGTAACTCACAAGCAGTGGCGCTCGGGGCTGAGCACACGCCTGACTGGCCGGGCTTGGAGCACTCGCTGCTCCAAGCCGCCCACACACCTGCCGGCACCGGCAGAAGGTCGGACCCACTCAGTTTTGAGCGTCTGGAAGGAGCAGACACCTGCTCTGTTTCTCTCAGAGAGGTGCGCACACGTACGGGCACACCCACACCCACACTCTGGGAGACAAGAATGCTGACCAGGATCGGCTCTGCCGGGTCGGGCACAGTCCTGAGCGTGGGTTAAAGCCTCTCGCTCTTCGGGCCCTCCCTGGTGGCGCAGCGCGTTAAAGCACAGCACTAAGAAGCTAAAGCCACTTCTGCATGAGTTCGATCCCTGCCTGCCCTGGAGGAGACCACAGGGCGCGGCAGACCCGCCCGCTGCTCCCCTCGCAGTGTACTTCGTCGATCTGCCTGTTCTGCTCCCCACTCTGTCTCTAGTGAATCCTCTCACCCTCCACATCTCTAACTTGTACCCCAGTTCTGTATGAATAAATAAATAAATCTTTAAAAAAAAAAACACTTTTCACTCCTCGAATGGATCCCTGAGCCAGCATTTGTTTATGTCCTTATTTTGTTTAATATAAAGAGAAAAAATTAATAGTGGATGGCATCTTATAGAAACAGAAGACGAGGCCCTCCCTGGAGGCCAGCGGGCTAAAGCGCAGCACTGAGAAGCTAAAGCCGCTCCAGTGCCAGTTCCATCCCCTCCTGGAGGTGACCACAGGGCGCGGCAGACCTCTCCTGACCCACCCGCTGCTCCCCTCAGCAGTGGGTTTCAGTGGCTCCACCTGTCTGCTCCCCACTCTGTCTCTGAGGACTCCTCTCACCCCCTGTACCTCCAGCCTGCACCCCAGTTCTTGTATGCATACATACAAAATAAATCTTAAAATAAAAATACTGCTGTTTACTTGTGTATGAAAGTTTAAAGCTCCCTGCAACTGTTAAAGGGAAGGAACTCTGCAGAGTCTTATGGACCCCATCCCCTACTCCAGCTTTCTGGACTCTACCCCCGATTCCAGTGATTGGAAACTACATCTCCCAGCAGCACCAGGGAGAGAACTGCGAGGACCCAAGGGCGGAGCTAGCGGGAATTCTGGGACATTTGGGGAATAAATAGGGCGGATTACATCTCTAGCTGGCTGGGAAAACGGCTCTCCTGACCTTGTGAATCTGTGTGTGCAGCCTAGCCATAAGGTATTGCAGTTAACTTTGTATCCCGCTCTTTTTCCCTGGGTTGTTTCCGATTCCTTTCCCCTTTTGTAAATCAACCCGTTATTGACATTTTTGTGTGTCTGCAGTGTAACTGAATTTTGAGCGCGTGGGTGAGGACCCACAGACAGGCGGCCCAGTCTGCTCTGGGCTACCCTGTAACACAACTGCAACAGTAAGTTTTAAAAGTCTCCCTGGGGATACTAGCAAATGGCCCCACCTGCAGAACACAGAGGTTTTCCTTTACAGGTATGTTTTGAATAATTCATTAAAAAGTTCAGACAGGAAATTTTCAGAATAAATTTCTGGACAGGAAAAAAATATGGTAAAAACAAGAGTCCAAAGTTCACTTTGAAAGTGACCAGCTTGGATGTAGACTTTATATTCTAGCTGTGGCTTTGGGTGTGCTCCTGAAAACATGTCAATAATCTCCAACAGAAGACAGCAGACTGCCTTGTCAAGGGTGAATGAGGAGAATCGTTGCAATAGCTTCGCTACCTGGCTGCGCCATTCAGAATGGCAGTGCCAGTGCGGCCACAGAGCAGGCCCTCAAGCGGGGCACCAGACAGAGCGTGGACACGGCTCCCAGCGCCGGCTCCCCCACGATGGCAAACCCATCTGCGCAACCATGCAGAGAAGCGGCCCCGGCTGTGGCCACACTGCAAGCACAGGTCGGTGTTGTACCCGGTTACATTCCGCTTCCTAACTCCCCAGAAACATTCTTTAATTTCACTAAAAGGAGTTTTCAAGGTCCCTATAGACATATCCGATGCCATCAAAGGCGGAGGTCACGCAGCCTCGGGGCACAGCACAGGACCCCGACCTTGGAGAGAAGAGGCTCCGTGCAGTCCAGAACTGAAAAACGACAACGACGGAGCAAAGACAAAACCGCAACTCCCGATACTCACGCAAAACCGCGCACCCAAAGGTGCCTCGTGAGACTGGGGAGGGCGTTGGCGACGGCCACCTGCAGACCAGCGGCGAACTGGGAGTGGGCTCTGAAAGCCCGGATGGGGCCCTGCCCACCGAGAGTCCGAAGAAGGGGTGCCCCTGCCTCGGGCTGCCGCCCCTGCCCGCCGTGGCGACCCAGGCTCCCTGCCCCCGCCCCCGCCCCTGTCCCCAGCCCACTATCCCCTGTCTCCTGTGCCCCTTATTCCCTCATCCCCTGCCCTCCCTTGTGCCCTCCCTCAATCCCGACCCCACTCACTCTTCATCCTGGATGAAGAAACCGGCGACAACTCCTGGCAGACCCTGGACGGCCAATACAGGGGCAGGAAGGGTAGTCCCCTGGCTTCCACTCCTCTGAGGCAAGGTCCGGAATGAGGACCTCCTTAGTGGTCCCAGATGGAGAGCGTTAGGATCCGGACGCCATGTTGTATCCCTGTTACCCTAGCAACCGTCGGGCCCGAACTCCCCGCGGCCCTGCGTGCGCGTGCGCAGACCGCGTTTCCCGTGCCGCCCGGCGTGGACGCGTGCGCAGTGCGGCCCGCAGCTGGTGTGGTTGCTAAGCAACCTCGCCGGCGTGGTCGCGGAGCAGGTACCCGCGGCGACCTGCGCGGGGATTGTTCTTCGCGGCGGTCCCGAGGGCTTCGCTCAGGGACGCGGTGCCGGGTCACGGCCTCGGGTGCACCTGCGCTGGGGGCACTGGCCAGCTGTCCCGGACCCAGTGCCGACTATCCTGTCCTGCAGGCGAGCGGCCGAGCCGCAGCTGAGCAGAGACGCGCGCCCGGGAGCTTGCGGGTTGGATGGGGAGCGTCGGGGTCCGCTGCCCTGCACACAGGCCGACGCTCCGGGAACTGCGTTTCTTTCACCCCACAACTCCTGCAGAGGTCTGGGAGCTTCGCTTCGTTCCGTTTTTGAAGTTAAGTAAAACAAGTGTACAGTGTAAAAAAAAATCAAAATTCCGAAGTTTAGAGATCGGAAAACCCCTTCAAAACTCATCCATCCTGCTTATCTTTCCACCCCAGGGTCAGCCACTGGCAATAATTGAGTGACATCTTTGCAGAATTTCTATGTATGGATTTGGAACGATTTGCTCCAGAATTGAAAAATCATAGTGATGTACAACCAGCTTTTTTTCCACTTTCTGTTTCAAAGTCGCCTTTTTTTTTTTTAAGATTTATTCATTTATTCATACAGAACTGGGGTACAGACCAGAAATGCGGAGGGTGAGAGGATTCACCAGAGACAGAGTGGGGAGCAGAACAGGCAGATCGACGAAGTCCACTGCTGAGGGGAGCAGCGGGCGGGTCAGGAGAGGTCTGCCGCGCCCTGTGGTCACCTCCAGGGCAGGCAGGAATCGAACTCATGCGGAAGTGGCTTTAGCTTCTTAGTGCTGTGCTTTAACCCGCTGCACCACCAGGGAGGGCCTCAAAGTCGCCTTTTAATGGCAGCCTGGATGGGGCCAGCCGTGGTTCCCCACTGCGCCTACGGGTGCGGCCTGCTCTGGCCCTCTAACCATGCCGGGATGGCATTTCCTAAATACGGTCTCCGAAGGCTACATTTTAAAAAGGACGCGCTTAGCAGGAAAAGGCACTGCACCATGGCGGTGAGGGGAGGGCTGCCTAGTTCCCATATTGTTGCTATTACCACAAACAAGACTTCAGGAGAGACCCTGTTCATAACTGACACTGTGTGACTTCTGGCGGGGGAGGAGAGGCAAAAGATGGCTATAGCTCAAACATGGACTGGTCAAGTCACTGCCCCTGCTCTGTACATGGACTCCCTGGGCCCCACACTTGCGTGGACACTGGCCGTTACCTGCTAAGATTGTGGAGTCATTCAGTAGAAGATTAAAACGTCACAACGTGAATGAACCCCCTACAGTTCACAGCCCCTCTCTGCTCCTCACTCCAGGGCAGTGATCTAAGGCCACCATGGGCCCTGAGACCAGGCCTTGCACTGCAAAGCTGGCCTCCCCGCGCCTCGGCCAGCCCTGCCACCCCCGCCGTGCCAGCTCTGCCAGACTCCCCCGGACTTCCTCGCCTCCCACTGCACACCCCTCATGTGCACCCCTATTCACCGGGCCCCTGCTGGGCAATGAGGTGTGTCTAGTAGCCTAGTCTTTAAACCTTGCCCGGTGGCCAGCCCTGTAGACGCCTCACTTCTGTGTGCTCATGTGGCCCCTCGGGGCTCCCCAAAGCACTGTCAAAGGGACATGTATACTTTGAAACTCTGGTAACGTCTCTTCTTTTAATGGAGCCAACATTCACTTGACAGAATTAAGCATTTTGAAGTGTGACATTTAGTGCGCTCACAATATCCTGTTACCATCGTCTCTACTTCCAAAATACCTTCATCATCATCCAAAAAGGCGAGCCAGCACCCAGTGAGCAGTCTCAGAACCATGTGCTGGGCCAAGAAGGATCAGCCTTCCCAGGTCCTCAGAGAGGCTTCCCCGAGGGGTCGAGAACAGGCCCCCTAATGCACGTCACCTTGGTTTGTGGCATGAAGGTCACAAAACTTACCGTGACCTTAAAGAACGCAGGCTACCTAGATTTAGGAGCGTCTCTGGAAATATCCTCTTCATGGGCAGACCCTCTCTTCAGGCAGGACATGTGTTCAGAGGCAGGTTTTGTCATATGGAGTCACCCCTCGTCACGTGAACCCCTCCTCTCTCCCGGCTCCCGGGTACCACCCCGCGCCTCAGCCCAGCCCTCCCCAGCTTGCCGCACCAACTTTAGAATGTTCCACCACGTGAATTCTCCATACGGGCTAGTCTTTTGCTCCTGCTGCTTTGTCTGCTGTCAGGTTGTCTGCTTGTCTCGCTCAGAAAGCCGGTCGGGGGTAGCTTTTCTGCACCCTGGCAGAAGCCAGACACTAAAGGTCACGTGTATAATTCCACTCCCAGGAAATGTGCAGAAAGGCCAAGTCTACCCACAGGAAGCAGCCTGGAGGCGGGGGGGCTGCAGGGCTGGGCAAAGGTGCAGCAGGTGCTGGTGCTCGCCAGCGCGACAGCCAGCACCCGGAGGCAGCAGGGACGCTGCACCCAGCCAGCCACTGATGACCCTGAGCTGTGCCCTGTGGAAATGGTTAGTGAGATGTGGCGTGAACTTTACTTCCGGATAACTTGGGGTGAAGTGGTAATCCTAATCAAAAAACAGGCAGGAGAGCTAAGCTGGCACTTCTCCAATGAAGACATACAGAACAAACGGGACTGCAGGTACATGGGGGAAAAGCTCCGTCACTAATCATGAGGGAAATGCAAATCTAAACCGTAAGGAGAGACCACCCCTCATGACTGAGCATGGCCCAGATCAGCCCTCGCACGGGAATAGAGACTGCCCAGCGCCCGTGGAGAGCAGTGTGGAAGCTTCTGAGCAGACTGACAGTTACAGGGCCAGGAGAGAGGGGCACCCCTGAACCCCCAAACCTGCCTGCTCTAAATGGGTTCTGCCATCCACCGCATCAAGGCAAGACGTAAGAGCTTTAACGGACAGGAGCGTTAAGTCTACAGCACGGGAAAGACAAAGAATAGAGTTTCTAACTCAAACGCCCCAAGTCACCTGTCCCCTCACCGTAGGGGACTGGCCCAGAGCAAGGCCGGAAAGCCTGTCACAAGTGCAGGGCACCTCCTGACCGGGCCCCACAGAAAAGGGTCGGTGGTGGCCGACAAGCCTGGGAGGAAAAGAGCAGCATCTAAATCAAGATAAAGGAGGGCTCCCCCGCGGGTCCCTCCCCCGCGGGTCTCACGAGCCAGGGCCAGAGGCGAAGCCGCTTCTTCCCATCTGCGCGCCTGTCCCCCACAGGGCTCCTCTGGCTCCATCCTGCTTCTTCCTCCTCAGACTCCTCTCTGCTCAGCTCCGCCCTCCTGGGTGGGGCAGGGGAGCTGGAACTTCCCCTTTTCCTGGGGACTCCCTGTTACAAACTCGTATTAGCAAATAATAAACACGACAGAGAGAAAACCAGGCTTGAACCAGAATACCCGGAAGGAGGCGAGAACATCAACATCGGCCTGAGGATAACACCAAGGGACAGGACCGATGGGGACTGGAGCTTGGTCCTGACAGTCGGGCCGGTAAATGCCAGGCTGGGGCGCCAGGCGCTGCTCTGAGCAATGGGCGGGTGCTCCAACCCAGATTTGTTTCAACTGGAAGAAAAGATTTCCAGAAAGGAGAAAGGCTACCAGCTCAGCCCCTGAAGTCAGTGGGGCTGAGAGCCATCTGGTGGACCCCAAAGGGTACAGGATGGCGGTTCTCTCCTCTGATAAGGAAGGGTCCCCGTGAAAACTGCCTGAGGTGTCCTGAGCACCCTGGTCCCTCTGTCTTGACCAGGGTCCAGTGCAAGGCCGAGAGCAGCTGCCCCCCTGCCACTGGACACCCTGTCCCCATGCCACTGCCCTGGGTGGCTGACCACACCGTACCCGGGAGGGTGCTAACCCTGGCAGGCGGAATGCCCCAGGGCTGGCACCGGGCAGTGCTGTGGAGACCCCCAGAGGAGGGGCTTGACCAGTGTCACCTGGTGGGGGCCACCTCAGCTCAGTGGGACCCAGGCCTCCAGCTCCCTGGACCACCTCTGTTCTCGCTGCTGTCTTGGAAGCCTTTGCAAAAGCATCGTGAGTAATGTACATGCTGTAAGGAAGGACAATTTGTTTAAGTTTTTGGAACCAGGGCCCTCTCTGGTGGCTGGTTAGGACGCAGCACTGTGAGCCAGGTGCAGCTGCTTCAGTGCCCCGGAGGTGACCACAGGGCGCGGCAGCCCTCTCCTGACCACTGCCTGCTCCCCTCAGCAGTGTGCTTGTCAGTCTGCCTGTTCTGCCCACCACTCTGTCTCTGGAGAGTCCTCTCACTGCCCTGCACCTCTGGCCTGTACCCCAATTCTGTATGCATAATTAAATAAATCTTTAAAAAAAGTAAGTTTTGGAACCAACTGACTTGTCGCAAATTAGGTGCAGCACCTGGACAGCTCTCCTGTCTGCCTGCCTTCCCTATGCATCATCTCACAGCCTGGACAGGCCCCTTTGTCCCAGGAGGCAGCTCATGTAGTTTCTGCCCCCTCCCTTTCTTTCTAGAACTGACCGCAAGAAGTCAGCTTCAGCACTGAAGCGATTTTGTTCTCTTCTTGTCCGTCTACACAGGCCGGGAGGCAACGTCAAACATGCAGAAGGTTGGGAGCTAGTTCAGGGAGGCTGTGGAGACAGGAGACAGGTGCTTGGGCCTTCTGTGAGGGCAGGGAACCAGGGCCAACCCCCTTCTGACCTCTGAAGAAGTTTTCTGGAAAACAAGAGAAGATGGCGTGAAGGAGGTCACCCAGCCAGCCTCGGCCACCTTCCCATCAGAAACGGGCTGGACGGAGGGCCCATTTGTGACAGGAATGGCAGCCACTGTCCAGCACGTTACCTCACCAGCCACCCAGCAAGCCTGTCCTGCAGGTGCCATGCAGTGTGTGGGAACGAGGAGCCAAGAATGGGGTGTGGAGGCGGAGGGCGGAGCAGGCCAGGACAAGCCAGATGCCAGCCTGTGCCCCAGTGGCCGGGAGCACACGGCCCAGAGCCTCTGGACCTGCGGATGATGCCGGCCTTGTGCTTCTGGGCTCCAA